TAATGAGCCGCTTCCAGTCCCCCAGCAGTATTTCAATCCGGTAACATCGTTCCCCTTATCTCTCCCTCTACTCCATTGAGGGCAATGTCGTGCTTAAGTGTGGGGGGGGGGGGTGCTTTGTATCGGTTGGAATATATATATGTGTGCTTGGAGCCTAGTCCGCTGTCCGAATCTTACGATTTGAGGGCTCCAAGTACTGCTGTTTGATCACATTGGCACTGTGTTGTGATTGATGAATTGAATGGTTTTTGAAATGAGGCATGACAGCTTGATTGTGACTAGGACAACCTATAATGATGACTGAGACGTGCAGTAGAGTTGTGTAGGGGTTCAGTTTTTCAACTGTTTGCTTACCAACTGTGACTTGGATGGATCACTTGTTCTTGACAGTCGTTTATGCACCTAGTTCAGGGAATCAGAATGAGAGATAGAGCATATAGGTAGCCATGTGAGATTTGAGCCTGCTCGTTTCTTTCTTGTGCGATAGATCCCTCTTCCATGATGTGTAGCATTCACGTTGTCACTAGCTAAGATGATGGGGGCATAGGATTAGCCCACGACCAAATTGACTGTCCTGATGTGTCATATCCCCTAGTCAGCCCCTTTGAGTCGTGTGTTATCCTTTCTTTCGGTCTACAATAAAAATCACCCTTTTGCATCTTTTAGAAGGTTCCACAGAGTGGTTTTTACATGTTTTCTGCTGTTTCTGCTAAATTTAATTTGAGGGTTGGAGGTAGTGCTTAAAAGTTGGGCATGTGTTTGAAATATGTGCAGAGGTGGTGGTTCTCTTAAGAAAAAAAATGAAAGAAAAACAAAGGAAAAAATGAAAGCAAAAGAGAGTCACTACCAAAAATCTGAATAGTGCCCATTAAGTAGTGTTTCTTAGGAGTTTGGCTTGGAAATGCTGACATTTATATAACCTCCTTCGCTCTTGTGCTTTTGAGAATTTGAGTAATGCAGAATGGCAGGAAGGAAATACTGGTTTGTTTGACTGTGATTGTGTGGGTTTGGAAATGTGGAACCTTGTGCTATGAATACTTCCACCACCTAAAAGGCCTTTCCCCATGTCCAAGACCCTAGCCAGTCATTTGAACCTGTGTCTAAGACCTCCGGATTAGTTGGTGGTGACACCCCACATGTGAACTCTAGCATTTAGAGGCTGCTATCATGGTGAAGAGATGTTAGGGATTGAGAGAATAAGCATGCACATTTTTCGCATTAAATTGTCCTGGCCCCACTGGTCGAGAGTGAGCGATTCATTTTTCATATTCTATATACTCTTGTACCCCGGTGAGGACCTAGATTGCTCGGTCTCTATTCTGATGTCTTGAGTTTGGTGCATGAGGTGACTGTCTTGAGTAAGTGGTTGATTCAAGTCTAGGTTGGTTGGTGAACAGAAGGGAGACTCTTCCTTTACTCGATTTTGCTGCACTCGAATGTCCTTTGTGGTGGTTGTCCAGGTTGCTATTGAAGTTGCTCACGTGTTGATGTTGAAAACCAGTACGATTCACGTGCTCTGTGCCTTTATGACTTGTCCCCAATGTTGGTATGATTGAAAATGTGAGCTTACCTTGTGTCTGACTTGGTTTGCTTGGGGACAAGCAAACGGTTAAGTGTGGGGGAGTTTGATAGACCGTTAATTGCACATGTTTTTACCCCTATTATTACACCGTTTGAGATGTTGATTCTCGTGTTTTAGGCCAATTTCACGCTAGGTTGTTCTTGTTTGTGATATTTCAGGTCCTAGTACGTGAATGAAGGATTGAGAGCGAGTTTGGGGGCGATTGGACGAAGATCGGACGCATGGCGAGGCGCTGAGGAAGCCACACGGGCATTCCTGGAACCCACACAACCGTGCAAGTCACCCTTGTGGCCGTGTGGTTTGTGCCGAGAGCTCACACGGGCATGGTGGAAATCCCACACGGCCGTGTGACCCTGGCCGTGTGGGAAGCCTGAAGTTCGATTAATTGAGACGCAGCATTTTGGAAGCCACACGGGCAACCGGGTAAGCCCCACGGTCGTGTGGTCTGCCCGTGTGAGTCGAGAAAATCTGGGTTTAACCCAATTTTGAGCCACAAGTGAGAGAATCGACTTTTTGGAGCAAAAACAGAGCCCTAGAGAGAGAAAGTGCGAAGAACTCATCCTAAGAGTGGTTTTGGAGCCGGGTTTCATCAAATCAAGCTTGGAGATCATCATAGGAGTGATAATCATCATCCCAGAGCAGATTCTTCCCATTGTTATGAGTATGACTGCTTTGTATCTTGTTTTCCCCTCTCTCTCTCTCTATGGAGTAGAACTTTCTCTCACTTGGGTATGAAGAACCCTAGTTTCATGTGTTAGGGATTTTGATTGTAATGACTTGGGATTGTAAACTGCTTGATTATAATCGAATGATGCATGATTCATTGAATTGATTGAAGTCTGATCAGCTTTTCTTGATTTCTGCTGCAACCTGAGATAGATAGAATCTGATTAGGTTGTTAGAGCTACATCATTTGGTAGTAGTGGATTGACTATACGAGAGTTAGCCAATCTACTGCTTTGTACTGGAATCCAATTCCAGTAGTGGAGTTCTGTGTTCATAGCCTCAGCTTTCTAACCCGGTGAAGACTAGTCGTCTGCCGGGTAGTTTGACTGAGAGGGCTTGGTCAGCTTAAGAGATTCCAAGCTACTGTCGGATCTTCCATAGTGTAATCAACAGTAAATCAACCCAGGGTAATTACAATTGAACCTAACTAAGGAGCTAGGGGGACTCATTCCCGAGTGACTCTTCCTTGATTTCAGAAAACCGAGCCATTTCCTGCTTTTTACTGCTTTTAGTTAAAACAACAATCACTCGACTTAGTTTGCTAGATAATAGATAATCACGGAGTAGGCAGTAGATCTAGACCCCGGGTTGATAATAGAACTTGCTACTTTACTGCATCCTCGGACTACGATTACACTTGGTCGCAGTTCGGAGTTGTGTTTTACTGTGTCAGATACCCAAGAGTAAAACCGTGCGGGCTTGGCCCAAAGCGGACAATATCATACTAATTGAGCAACTCGATGTCGACAAGTGGTATCAGAGCCTGGTTGCGGTTTTGGGAATTTGGCGCTGGACTGAAGTTTTGCTTTATGGAGGTAGCTTTCAATTCTTTAACTTGGATCGGTGGAGGAATCGCTTTGGAGTTGACTTTGGGTAGTTGTGTTTTGGTCTCGGTTGTTTGGTGAGAAGTTTGGTTGGAGTTTGTTTGATAGTAAGAATGACTGCTATCAGTATGACGATTGAGAAGTCAATTTGGAGTTTCAGGTTTGGAGTTAGCAGTAAATTTGTTGTTGGTGTTATGGACGGAAATAATACCAAGTTGGTTCTGCATGGCAAGTTCCAACATGGGTTGGACTTGTTGCATGTTTTGATTTGTTAACCGCCCTTAGGGGCATTTGGAGGCAGGGGAGATTCTGGTACAACTGATTTGGAGGAGTTTGGTATGTCTGGCAGTCTTGATTGCATTTGAGTTTGGTGATTTGCATCGCGTTTGAGTTTGGTGATTTCGATCTCATCTGGATATCTGGCGACTTGGATCGTATCTGGGCAAATTTGGCGATATGGATCGCGTCTGGGTACATTTGGCAACTTTGGTTACGTATGGTACATCTGGTATTTGACAGAGAATTCAAGTCAAGGTGGAGATTGTTAGAATATGACTTGAATTTGATTTGGGTTTGTTTTGGGCCTATTTTGTTTGGGTTTGTGTTTGGGCTTTGTTTTGGCCTTTTCCTTGTAGGTTTGGAAAATGTGTTTGGTTCTCTGTTTGGGATTAGGAAAAGAGTTCTATAAATACTCTTTATCACCCTAGTATGTAGTAACGTCATTCAGGTTAGTTTGTTTGGTTTGTCCGTTCCGGAATTTGGTTTGTAACCTGTACTCTCCTCAAATTAGTGAAATTTGTTCTCCCCTGCCCGTGGATTAGCTAACACACATTGTGTTAGTGAACCACGTTAAATTCGTGTTCGTTTGTGTTGATCTGGATTATCGATTGCACAATTTCGTTCTGACAAGTGGTATCAGAGTCTAGTTCGGTCCGGAGCGGTGGACGTTAGTTTGGTGGACCCTCATTCGGTGACCTCGGGATTTGAGATCTGCGTCTGGTTTGGTGGATCCAAGGGAGATCCACGTTTGGACTGTTTGGCGGATCAAAGAGAGTTCCGCGTCTGGGAAAATCCTTGTACCGAGAAGCCCATTAGTACAAGGTGTCTGGCGGATCAAGATAATCGGTGAGGACACGATGTTCGTGGTCCTTGTCTTGAGGGGAGATTGTTAAGGTACAATCCAAGTACCACATCGGAAATACAAGGGAAGGAACCCTTGTATATAAGTGTCCACCTAGCCCAATTAGTACGAGGCCTTTTGGGGAGGATACCCAAGAGTAAAACCGTGCGGGCTTGGCCCAAAGCGGACAATATCGTACTAATTGAGCAACTCGATTTCGACAAAGAAAAATTTGTTCCATACTCGACTCGTCATTAATTGAGTCGGCTCGCGAGTAAGCTCGTCAATTAATGAGCCGCGCTCGAGCCATTGCAAGTTAAGCCCCATAGGCTTGCACAGGCCCGAAAGACTTTAGAATGTGATTTTAAACTACAGTCGACATTTTATAAGTTGGATTCGATTGTTACTCGTTAAACCCATTTAGTGAACCGAGCTCGAATTTTAAATTATTTTAACGAAACAAAGCTCAAATCACAACAAAACTCGGCTCGAATCATTAACAATCCGACCGGTTACACATAGTTAACTGCTAGCTTTTCGGTTGTCGGTTTTACATCTGCTTGTTCTTCCAAATGGTAGTGTACTTATTTTTGGTCAAAGTAAAGATAAGTCAACTCTAAAATGGTTGCTAGGCCAGCTGCAACTCGTTCGTGTAAGAACTAAGAAGATTCAACCACGGCGGCGTTTCAAAGGAAGACTACTTAGTACTCCCCTCGTAATCCCGTTCCCCGAAAACAACGTCAACGATCGCAGAACCCGCCACGTCACTCACCGGGACCCACCCTCCTACGTCGTCACCCTCCCCTCCTCAAAAAGGACACCACGGAGACGTGGAATCATTCCCATCCTTCGTACACTTTCCCCAACCTACCGTCTCCAGCCAGGGATTCTCTCGGAAACAGAGATTGTTTCACTCACACAGCAGCTCTACCACCGGAATAATGGCCACCGCCACGGCTCGCGCCATCCGCTGCGACCTCGGAACCGCCGGGAACAACCAGCAGCGGTCGCCCGTTTCCAGGACCGGATCCGCCGCGGGAGCTCCGGTCCAGCTCGTCACTCTGCCGCCGAAGACCGAAGCCGCGCCGGGGGAGAACGGGAAGATCATGCTCCAGCCCCGTCTCTGCACCCTGAGATCCTACGGCGACGATCGATTCGCGGTCGTGAAGACGAGGAAGAACTACGGAGGAGGAATCGGAGATTACGAGGTTTCGCCGTTCTTCGAGACTCTGTCGGAGTACATCGAGAGCTCCAAGAAGAGCCAGGACTTCGAGACCATCTCCGGCCGCGTCGCCATGGTGAGTCAGTTAATTTAATTTTTTTTGTTTCTCTATCTGTTTTCCCCCATTCCCGTCGATTCAATTGAGTCCGGCGTGAATAGAATTGAATTGATTTTTTTTTAATTGAATTGAATTTTGAATCGGATCTGGGTATTTGGGGGTGGGGGAGCAGATTGTGTTCGCGGCGACGGTGGCGGCGGAGGTGGTGACGGGGAACTCGGTGGTGGGGAAGCTGGATCTGGTGGGGATCGAGGAGGCCGGCGGCGCGTGCCTGGCGGCGGTGGTGTGCGCCGCGGCGTTCGCGTGGGTCTCGAGCGCGCGGAACGGAGTGGGGAAGATGTTCTCCTCCGGATGCAACTACGTCATCGACTCGCTCGTCGATGACGTCGTCGACGGGCTGTTCTACGACACGGAGCTCAGCGACTGGTCCGATGAGGTCTGAATCGGGTTGGTTTGTGGGTGGGAGGGAATTGGGTTTCGGTTTTGGGGGAGATGGGTTTGGTTCGCGATGATTAATTATACATAATCGTGATTAGCTGTGTACTTAAATTGTGATTAGGGTATGTTATTGTTGTGGTTCAACAGAATGAGAAGTATGGGGGGAATCAGGTCGTTCTTGTTGGCATGGAAATGGGCGCAGGGGATCTGGGTTCGCGTGTGGTTATTACAGTTTTACCCCCTTTGTAAAATCATATATGTAAACTCTGTGATTGGATGTACAATCGTACATGTCACTCCGTATACTAATGCACTCGATACTTCGTAGAAGTGTTACGTGTACGAGTTTCATACTACATAGAAGTTAGAAAAAGTTAAAGTTCAAGCTTTTAACTTTTAAATCATGATTTAGACTTATATTCATTAGTAACCTAACATGGGTAAGTGAATCAATGATAGAATCATACTATAGTGAATTTTTAATTATAAATTATCGTATTGTTTGTCATTCAAGACCTTCTTTAAGTGTGTTGCTTAGGGGGACTTTATCATCAACTAAGTCAACTAATCAAGGCAATTTGGTTTAGACTCCCTTTAATGGATTATCACCGAATACAAAGTAGTTGGTAGATTAACCTAAATAAATATTCTCTCTCTTAAGTCAAAACTGAAAAACATGAATATATGATCAAGGCCAAGATAATGCATAAATCTTCAACTCGACACCTTTTGAGAAGAGTTGCTTTTTGAAATGCATCGTTTGAATATCAACTTGTAGTTTTATAAGATAGAGTACTCATACAATCATCAATTCAACCAAACATAGCTAGGTTCTTCACACTCAAGTGAAATGAGAAGTTTACTCCACAAAAAGAGAAGAAATCACTAACAGCCTGTTTGGATACAATTCCATAAGAAATGGAAATAGAATTTCATTTCCAATTCTAACTTTTGTGGAATTTCATTTCCAATTTTTGTGTTTGGTATAATTCCCACAACTACATAATTCCTATCACTTTTGATAGGAATTATAGTTTCCATAATTTGGATCAAATGGAATTCATTTCTCAACCTTCTTACCTTTCAAACATAGAATAATGGAATATAATTGGAAATGTTATTCTAGGGCTCGTTTGGAGAATTAGAGTCTAAATCTCTAGATTCTAAACAATCCAAAGATTTGAACTCTCCAGATTGTTGAAAAAAGATTTGAAAATGTTCATTGTTTGATAACTGCGATTGTTAACATACAATAAAAAAAGAAATTATATTTGTTTATAAAATGGCATGCTTATCCTTAACCAAAATAATTAAATTGGCTCAAAAAATATATAAAAATTTATCAATAAAGATATTTAGTGGGATAAAATAAGGATATTTAGTGGGATAAATTAAAAAAAGGATGAGATAGAGTAAGAGAGAGAAAATCTCTAAAATCAAAATGTAGAATCTCTCCAATTAGGAGAGATTTGATATCTCTAGATTTTAGAGATTTAAAATCTCTAAAATTACAATCCACAATACAAAAAATAGCAAAAAAAACATAACATTTTGTCAAATCTATGGATTCAATAAATCCATCATCCAAATCCTATTCTCCAAACGACCCCCTAATTCCTGAGTTTTTTGTCCATCCAAACAGGCCGTAAGGGCTCGTTTCCTTGTTGGATTTGTAAATGAAGGTTTTCGGTTTTGAAAACCTTTGAATTATGATGGAATTGTTGCATTTTTTGTATGTGAAAGATAATAGTGTTTGTTTAGTTGATTTTGATAAGGGATTCAAAGGTTTTTGTACCATGGGTCACAAATCTTTGCCTTCCATAACCAGATGAAAATATGGTATTTAGTATTTACAAATACATGGGGCCAGGATATGGAACTAAAAAAAGTGTACAATTCCGTGAACCCCACATATTTATTTATCACAACGAACAATGTTTTTTTTGTCAAATTTGGGATTTGGGAGCCAAATACATCACTTAAATGCCACTAGCAAACGATACCTAAAAAGAAAATAATTGACTTCATGATGACTTGAGACTTCTTCCTATCTTCAATTTTCTCTTCTAGACTTCTTCCTTAAGCTCTAGAGGGTGAAAATCTCTTTCACTCTACGGTTCGCCCCTTAGGTGTTTCTCAATCCAAAACTCAACTCTCCCTTTGGAAAAACAACAGAAAATTTATTTATACCTGAGCACGCCATAATTCATGACTCTAAATTCTTGGGCCGGGGGGGGGGGGGGGATAGAAGTTTCAAGTTCGTGAATCACCAAAACGCTGCACTTCGTTAGTGTGGTCGAGGAAAAGTCACGACCTAAGGTATGGAAAGTCACCGTCGTGACATTGGATGTGGCTGGCCGTGAATCTTTCCTCGAATGGATTCACGGTCGTAACTTGATTCTCATGACCATAACTTGATTTCTCGTGGCCATAACTTGATTACTCGTGGACATGAGACTTCTTGTCAGCCCTCATTGTCCATTTTGGCCTTCAAATGCCCCGGAACTCACTCTGAAACCTTCATCACACTGTACGACTTGAAATATACCAAAGAAGAACAACCTAGGTGTTTACACCATAAAATTTGTCTTGTACCACATTGGTGAGTTACAAGATAATTAATGAGTTTATAAGGCCACACCCATTATAACAATTAATATTGTTTAAGTTGGGCCTTATGGATATTGATTTTAAGCCCAAGCCACTAAGTCTGGAGAGTGACATGCCGCCTCAACGAAGAGGGCCATGTCCATCTAAAATCTAGAAGCTTGTGCCGCCTCATGAAGAGGGCCATATCCATCTAGAAATCGAGGAGCACATGCCGCCCCAAGATCAAGACTAAATGACTGAAAAATAAACTAAGTCTGGAAGAGGTACATGGCGCTTCAAGGAGAAGTATGTGCCACTTCAACGAGAGGTCCATGCCGCTTCACGAGAAGGGGCATGGACGCGAGACAAGATGAGACGTCCATGCCACATCACGAGAAGGGGCATGGACGCAAGAAAAGATACTAAGTATGAGAGGGTCATGCTGTGTCACGAGAAGGGCCACATACATGACTGAGAAGTCCATGGCCGCGAATGAGGAGGCCATGTCGCCTCATGATCCAAAATATACTAAGTCTGAGAAGGCCATGCCGCCTCACGAGAAGGGTCATGTGCATGATTAAGAGGTCCATGTCCGTGTCATGTGATGGCCATGGACGCGAAGCAAGAAGCATTAGAAATGATTGAAAATACTAAGTATGGAAAGGCCATGCCGCCTCATGAGAGGGGCCTTGTGCATGATTGAGAAGTCCATGCCACTTCACAAGAGTGGCCATGGACACGAATGAGAAGGGTGTGGTGATGGAGCATTATATCACTAGTGAATATGTCTCAAGAGGTCCATGACCGTTAGACAAGAAGGCTATGGACATGAGTAAGAAGTTCATGGTCGTAAGACAAGAAGGCGTCTCAAGAGGTCCATGACCGTTAGACAAGAAGGCTATGGACATGAGTAAGAAGTTCATGGCCGTAAGACAAGAAGGCCATGGACTTGTCCATGGCCGCGAGGCAAGAAGACCACGACCCCCTTTTGCGAGACACCACATGCTCGTCAAAAGACTAGCATGGCACGAGATTCAGAACAAGACCAGGCGAGGCAAGCTACACTCCAAAACCCACGACGGTTCCAAGAGAGGCACCTAGGCGGTTGAAGGAGTAACCACCACTCCGAGGAAGCAGGGAGCGGTTCTTTTTGGGAGTTATCCAAGAGGCGGTTTTCTACCGAAGAAGGAGGAGCGGTTCTTTGTAGCAGTTATCCAACAAGAGGTTTTCTATGGCGGTTACCTCCTCGGGGCTCTATATAAGAGGAGGGATTGACAGAGACAGAGGTTCCAAAACCAACACTCTGACACACATGTCAAGTTTATCATTTACCTTTTCTCTATCATGTAGCCATAGATGTAGTTCGTAGTTTGGAGCTCTCGCCGAACCTCCATAGGATTAGGAGTAATTTAATTTAGATCTCGTTCCCAGAAACCATCAATCAAACACCCTCGTTCGAACTTTGTTTGAAGAGGTTTGAGCCGTGTCTTAGAAATCGTTGTCCAAAGAAGTCAAAGGTGCATTAATCTCATTTCAACGCAAGTTTTCTCTCCGGAAAACACTAGGTAAATGGTCAAGAAGCAAAGTGTTGAGGGCTGAAATATGTACACATTAGCATGCATCAATAAGCTCCTCGTAAAGTACCTTGATATCCTTTAGTGACCGGGAAGTTAAGTATGCAGGATTGTTGGGATTTAGTTGATAAGATCATTGCGTGTGCGAGGGGATTGAGAGCCAAAACTCTCTCTTATGATGAGAAGTTTCAATGAGTTTTTGTTGTTATAACTAGCATTACACAGTATCGAATGTGCATTTTGCAATTCCTGATAAAGGTGATGAATATGATTGAGAAAACTTGTTATGATTTTTTTTTAGTTTAGAGAACGATGGAAAAAAGCAAGGATGCCTTGGAAGTTTGACTCGCTAAAACACAACTCCTAACAATGACCAAGTATAACCAATGAAAGGGACTGCAATATAGTGGTGCAAGTAATAAATATTAAATTCACGAGGTCTCTAGATTTACTATTACTCACCTTCGGTTTATTATCTAACAAATCAGATTAAGGTTTGATTAACTTAACTATTCCTACAAGATACTCTAGGTTATAGTACTAATTACATGTTCGGAACTCAGTTAGGTATGATTTCCCCTAGCCACTACCCAGATTAATGATTGATGATCTCTAGCTTGTTTCACTTTCATTTACAATGCGGAGAATCCTTGACTGGAACTTGAATCTCGACTAAAGAAGTAAAGGCCCTCTTGAGTCGATTTCCTATCCTTCTCTAGAATAACCGATCAAGGCGTTCTGAACTAGATTCCCTCTATCAGATGAGGTTCTCAATGGTACAAAGCAGTGAATCGACCCTTTACTAAAGCAGTCGATCCAATACTATCAATCTATGGTGCTCTATTGACCTAATTAGGTATTCGCTCTCATAAGATCAAGGTAGAATCAATAATCCTTATTAAAACAGAATTGAATCATGAAAACATGCATAGATTGAATATGAACTCAAAATTATCAAGTAGAAGTACTCATACAATCATCCAACAAAACAAACATAGCTAGGTTTCCTCAAAAGCTAACTGAAGTTACTCCATAGAGAAGAGAGACTGCAGTATGAATCTTCAGATGATCAGTCTTCAAGTCCATGCTTGTTCCTCGAGCTTTCAAGGCTCCATAATCTCCCTCAAATCATCCTCTCACTCTAGGATTCGTACCTTGGGTATTTGGTATCCAAAATACATCTCTCTCCCTCAAAATACGCACAAAACAAGGC